AGGGCGGGGGCGAGGCGCTGTGGGTGGGTGGGCGGAACTGGGGGAAGGCTTTTGTCCGAGGCACGGAAAGGAGGCACGGGAGAAGCCGCCTGCCTGTAAGCAGCAGCTGGGGAACCGGTTCTTACTCCTAATGTGGTTTGTCCTCCCTAGATTCTCCAGGGCAGCTCTGTGGATCGGGACCACCTCCTTCATGATTCTGGTTCTTCCTGTCGTCTTTGAAACTGAAAAACTGCAGATGGAGCAACAGCAGCAGCTGCAGCAGCGACAGGTGAGGCGGGAGCCCCCGGCCCTCCCCGCTGGCCCTCGGAGTCGGCTCGGGGTGCCGGCACCTCCTCACGGCCACCAGCTGTCGAAGCAGCTTAGGGAACGGACTGGCCTCCTGGCCTCGTTCATCCCACCATTGGATGTTCCAATGGGATGAGCTTGCCGATTGCCGGTAACGGGCTGGCGGCAAACTCTGGCAAACACAACCCGGCTCTCGCTGGGCCGAAACACGCAGCGAGGGCTGCGCACGGGCCTAACGCGGCAACGTCCAGGCCCGCCCCGTTTGCATTCGGTGTGGTCGAGCATCGAACTTGGTTGTCACGGCAGGGGAGGAACCGCAGTTGCAAAACGCCACTGGTGCCTTCGGTGGCAGCGGGAGGCGGGGGAGGGGAGGGCGGCGCCTGTCCTCACAGCCCCCAACTGACCGTTTTCCTTCCAGATCCTCCTGGGACCCAACACGGGGCTCTCGGGGGGAATGCCAGGGGCCCTGCCTCCGCTGTCTGGAAAAATCTAATTTGCGGGAACTGCGTTGGATTCGTATCATGTGGGAAGACCCTAAAATTATGATATATTGAACTGTTGATTTGTCGGGTCAGGGCATTTTTTTTTTCCGTTTGTTTGTTTTTATTTTTGGTTCTCCTTTGGGACATTGACCTGTTCATAAGGAGGGGGGGAAGCCCCCTCTCCGGACCTGACGATGGCTCCTGTCTGCATCCTCCCCCCATAGAAGTCGCGAGTCTTTCCTTTTATTCAATCAGCACACCACAACCAGTGACAAAAGGACTTGATCTGGGGGAGTTCCTCTTCCAGCCTTCTTGCCCCCCGCAAAAACCACCCCGGGGCACGGGGTCAGGCTTCGAAAGGCGGCAGCCGAACAAAACAAACCCTTTCCTGGCTGACTGGGAGCAGCGGGACACCGGCGGCGGGAGGAGGGGCGACTTCCCCAGCAGGCGAAGCCAAGGAAGGAGGGGCGCGGGTGGCCGTACCCTGTGGAAAACGCTCTCGGGGAAAGAGGCGCCTGCGACGATACCTTCACCGCAGCGTGGCGAGCGCGTGTGCGAGCGCCGGGGGAGCAGCGGGCCAGGTTCCAGACGATCACATCCGCGCTGATCCTCTGCCTCATAAACGTAGAACTTCAGATTATCAGCTGCGTATTTTTTTGTATTGAATATTAAATAAATCCAACCTGAGCAGTGTGGTTTTAATGGGCGTCCTTTAGGGAGGCTCCGTGCTTCCAGAGCCGTCGCTGGGTAGGGCCCCCTCCGTTCCACCCACGGCGGGGCCACGGGGGAAGGGACAGACGGGGCTCCCTCACCGGCCGGTGGCTGAGAAAGCTCTGCACGGCTTAAGGGAGGTCTCGGAGAGGTGATTCCACCTCAGCACCAATGACCAACTTTTGAGGTTCTTAACTCTCAGAAAGGTTGCAGTTTTATAACCAAAGAAAAAAACAAAACTTTATTTTTCCTTTACATACTTTGTTACAGAACAATTCAGCTGAACATACAGAAGTGATAGGACATTTACATGGAATTTTTTTTTTTTTTCCATTTTTAATATTTGGTTAAACAAAATACATCTCTGTAAACAAACCCAAGACAAGGCTCCAACAAAACCAAACAAGCAAGAAAACAAACGGGGGCTTCCCCGCTGCCACGCGGTGGGACTGGACCAGCTTGCCCCCCCTCGGGCACAGCAGCCTCGCCTCCCGGGGAGGGGTGCGATCGCACCGCTTCCCCCCCCCACCTACCACCACAGGAAAGGTGCTGACATACAAGGAAAGTAGCCCCGAAATATTTTTAAAACATCTTTGCATATTGTGCACTGATCTGTTGGCTTGCAGTTTCCATGCAAACAGGGTTTCTCCAAAGTGCGACTTTAATCAGCATAGAAAACGTTGCTGTTGAGATTTATTCCCCCACCCCTTGAAGAAATGGCTTCAAGTCACAAGCAGAACGCCTGCAGGCTGCGCGTCCTGCCCGTAAAGTGTTTAAAAACTCTGCCAGCTGGTATCGGTCAGTGGAATGTGTTAGGAAACAAGAGGTTTTTTTTTTTTATAGAAATGTTGGGTCTTTAAAACCTAAGAGCCATTCGGCCCCTCGACTGCGGGAGGCTGTGCTCAGAAGACTGCAGAACGGTGTCGGCCCGCTGTCTGGGGGGGTGGTGAACATCAGCGCCCCGGCATCACGCGGCCCCTCTCTGTTCGGGAGGCGCGGGCGCGGCGGTCTCCCGGCTTCAAACACCCGCTCGTGCTCTGCGGAGCTCTCGAGAGACAAAATAACTGAGACAAGGTAGTTACAACCCCTCTCCTTTTGCAAACTCAAACATCAGTAATGAGACTTTCCCGCATGACGGAGCGGGATCCTTCAAGCTCCGTCGCGTCCCAGAGATTGCCGTTTAACCGAGGCATCCCGTGCATAAAGGAGGGAAGCAAAACGCAGCTCGGCCAGGAAGAGCTAAAACAGCGAAGTCTGTTCCAAATTCAGCATTTCCTCCTCCTGCTGTGGAAGGCGTGACGGAGCTACAGCTCGCCCAGGCGACCGGGAAACGGCCAGTGGAGATTCCTCTTAGTGTCTCCATGTCTAGTCACTCTTTTCCCCCCGGGAAGGGAGGGGAGGAAAAAGTGATTCGTCCATTAATGGAATGTTTGCCGGCCAACACTAAAAGAGACGTTGGTTCAACTACCGGGCCAGGGTCTCTCTAAGGCCCGAAGGCTCTCGTGGACCCTCTGCATCTCCCACGTTATCAGCTAGGAACTATAAAAAGGGCAAAACCTGACTATGATAAAGGCTTCCCTCCTCAGCCAATTTTTGCTTTGTGACTTCACCTCTTTCTGGGACATTTTGCATGGCATTTGCAACTGTGGGCTGGAGTTCTGGAAAGAGGAAAACACAAAAGGGAATGATTCCTCTCAAAACCCCTTCAGTTTTATTCCTCTCTCCGAGCAGCCCCTAAACTATTGGGTGACCATGCAGAAAACAAAAATAGATATTAAAAAAAGAGGAAAAAAAAAAAAACCAACAATGTAGCACAAAGAAACCCAAGCAGACTACGGCCTCTCTCCAGTCCAGAAACTCGATACTCCTCAATTAGCCTGTGCTTGCTGTTTCCATGTCACCTCAGCCAGCCACATGCTGCCGAACAACCGCTCACCACAGACACGAACCCCTGGAGACACTGAGGAAGAATCCCAATCTAGCTACCCAAAGAATTTCTTGAAAGATGACACTGGTTTTATTACTGTTTTCTCATTCCTGGCACAAGCCATCCCTAAGCAGCAGAGGGTCGTGCGGAGCACCGTACCATTCCTAGTGTTTGAGTGTGTCCTGAGAGACCCTTAGGAACTGCAAACATCTTCACGATGACTTATTTTGGAGGGAGAGACCTGTGGAGAGGCAGCAGCGTGCTCGGCCCCGGCTCCTCCCCAGCAAGCCCCGGAGGGAGCAGTGTCCCACCACAGGCGGCCTCGCCCGACGTGGGGAAAGGGAGGCCAGCGGCTTCCAGACACCCCAGCCCCAGAGCCCAGTTTGAAAGAGCGCAACGCCTTCCAGCCAGCTGAAGGGCACGCAGCTCATCCGCCTTTGCAATTAAAGTGATTGCCTTCCAGTTTCCTCCACTCTGCCCTCAATTCTTCCCCACTCGCCCCCCCTGCAATGTCCTACGCTGCTGCCCTATTGCACCAAGGAAGGAAGAGAAGAGCCTAACAAAGGAAGTTCCAGACGAGAAGAGTCGGGGCACCCGTTACCCAGGTTTCGGGACATCGGGAGTTCAGTAAAAGGGAAGAGCTGTAGTGGGAGGACAGAGTCGGTCCGGGTCACACGTCAGCTCTCCAGCTCTGATGTGCTTCCACCTCCTCTGGCACCACCAGCAGGAGTTCACAGTTCTTGCCTCTCAGCTGGTGTTTCAAAAATTTCCTATCGTGAAGAGGAACAGAAATACGCACTACTGAATGTAGAACTTCATCATCTTCTACAACAACTAAATGCAACTGCAAACGTGACAAGAAATGGCTGGGAAACCCACACACGCGATTTTTAGTTATTTTCTGACAGAAAAAAAAAGCCCAAATATTAAACTTGCCCCATGAGATTCAACGTGCTTCTAACCCGGCAAGTTATTGTAGAATCAGATAAGCACGATCTTAATCTCAGCAGAGAGGTCTATATAGATATCACTTTCCAATTTTCCAAGGTAGAAAAAGTACAATTAAAACCAAGTTCAGTTTCTTCAGATCTCTGAGATCAAGAATCCCACTGTATTTTAAAACAATTCCAACAAATCTGGAATACTTGTGGGGAAAAAAACCCCATCATTTAGATGTCCTTATCGCAGGCTGTAAGGAGCAGCGTACCGCCTGGTCATTTGGCATGGCTCTGCAGCCCCTTTCTGCCCCTAAGCTTTTTCTAATACCAAACCTGGATTATCTCCAAATAACTACGGAAGTCAAATCAGTGTTCTCTCTAGTATCTTCTGGCCCAGATTCCCAAAATTCCCTATGTAGGAAGCCCTCACTGCTGAAGAGCAGCACACCCAGGATAAGATCCACCAGAAGCTCTGCGCAGCAGTTCCAGAACCGCGTTACTTCATCCCAGAAGTTCACAAAAGGCTGACATTGACTTTACCAAGACTTTAATGGCATGGCAGGCTCTGCAAAGACTGCTCGTGTGCAATCCCTACCTCAGAACAAGTCCGGCTGAGGCAGCAAAGCTGCTAGTAGGCTTTAGAACAGGAGGGAATGGAAGCTGAATGGCCACTAAGAGCACATGAGACTTTACAGTCAAAGTAATTACACCAGCTATCCTGCGTTAAGATTGAAGAGGGGGGGGTCAAGCCAGAAGCACAGAGTACACTCACACAGGCAGGTGACTCCTAGCAAGCAACTTTCACTGCTGTCAGGAATAAGGCTTGCACTTCTGATCTGGAAAGCCTTTCGTTGGGAACACGCACAGGAGGCAAAGGAATGCTGATACCCTCACATTTGAGGAGAGGGCGAGGTGCAGCACATCTCATTGCAGGCGGCGCCCACTAATACCTGACTTGGCCTCTACCTTCATCACTAGTGAGAGCGCCAGCCACGTAAGAGACAAAGCCAGGCTCTCCTCAGCTTGCAGACATCACCACCTGCAAAAGCGTTTTCCTAGCTTCGCGCAAACAGGGTATAAATCTAAGTGGAGGCACGAGACCTTTATTACTCTCAAATCTTTGCTACTGAAGTTCAACCATAAATGTTTCAACCGCTAACCGTTTAAGGACAGATTCCCCACGTCTGACAGAGAAGGATTTGAGGAGGAACAGGACATAAAAAAATCCTACCTGAGCTCACTTTCACCTCCAATCCACTCGGGCACCTTGAGTTTGGAGTCGAGGTTGTAGTAGGTGCCTCCCACCTCCCGGACACAGATCCAGTGCTGTCGCTTGAGGGGGAGCTTCAAGGGGCCCCAGCAAAGGCTGGAGGGCAGATTCATGATGAAGCCCATCACGTTAGACAGGGCAATGACGTTAACATCCCTGAAACAGTGCAGAAAACAAGACAGTGGTAACATTATATTCTGCTACTTTAGCTTCATCTTTCTCGTTTTCACGAACAGCAGCCGTCTCCAGAATCACACGGCTTCTCTGTACCTGCGCTTGTCCCACCAAACCGCCTCATAGCCTTTGGTCTGAAGCGCTGCCATGATCACGTTGACATCATAGTTTCCGTTTCCCAGCATGCTCTTCTTGTGGGGTGTCACCATGGTGTTGGGAGACAGCCTGCAAACAGAACAGGAGACTGCGCTAGCGGGCGTTAGCAGAACCTACATTCCACAGTTGGAAGGGGCTACTTGCCATATAACTTGAAGCCCGTTTTCAGGATTTTTGTGTTTAAGCACAAAAGGTCCCTTCCAACCCAAACTATTCTATGATTCTATTCTGTTCTCCCTTATCACTCAACAAAGGGGCTGAGAGGGCTAAATAGTGCATTAAGAATAACTTTGATGTACAAGGCCTCCAAAGATCCTAGCTTTGATGTGAAAGAGACTGCAAAGCAGGAAGCTCTTCCCCCCGCCAACCCCCGAACTGGTACCTCTGCAGGACACGTCAATTATTTGTTCCTCAATTCATGGTTGGAGTAAATGCCAGTTTGCCATTTAGAACAACAGCTATCACAATTTCAAGAGTTCCAACAGTCAACACCAGTCTTGAAGACTGGACGAGATAACAAGAAGCAAGGCAGGCTGGCTGCAGAAAAGGTTGTTCTCCCTCACCCCACACTGGTAAATGAAAGAAATATTCAGACACAAAGCTGTGAAGATGTTTGGGTTTGGGCACTTGCTAAAGCACTGCCGTTGCTATATGATAAAATAATATCTGTTGCTGTAGGTAACTAAACCTTGTTGCAAACAAATCTCTTCAGCTTTAATCCATAAGCTTGCCTAGACATCACTTGCATTACTATAGCACCTAAAAATCCAGAACCACAGTCCATCACGTTACACACAAAAATATGACAGCCTTTGCACAAATGCAGATAAGGGATGCAAGGCATAAAACATGGAGACACGTGGCAAAAAAACCAAACCAGTTAGACACTTATTGGTTTAGGTTTTTTCCCCTCAAGAAATTTTGTGAGGGGAAACAGCAAGGGGGTGAATTATTATGAAGGTGACAGACGGGCTTCAACAGCTGGAAGAGCAAGCACAGGGGGAAACTGGGAGCAGAGAACAGCAAGGTTCTCATGCCAAACCAAAGAAAGTCAAGCCTGAGATCAGTTTTGTTGTGATGCATTGCTCTTTTAATTGGCAAGGACTCCCTTAACCCTGCTGGCACAAGGTTCAGATGTTTCATATCATCCAAATACCCACATTTCACCTGCCTCTCTCTCTCACGTCAGCTCTGTCCCCCAAAACTTCTGACATTCATGCATGGTTTTTCGCTCGGCCTTCAGCACCGTGCAAGTTCTGCAGGCATATTTCGTCCAGTGAAAATCCCTCAGCCCTTGTGCATTCCTCCCCTGACAACATAAGGCATTTGACAAGAAGAAGCAAGCAGTGGATTGAGTAGGGAGTTTCAGACCAACCCAGGCTAGAGAGGCTACAGACAGGTAGCTTTACGCATCAGCTGTGAGTTTTCTTGCAGTGGAGCAGATGGCAGCAGAACAGCCTGGGAAGCAACTTAACTACAGAAGGAAGAGGAGTCCGAAACAACACGGTAATAGGAAAAGCTATTAAGTACCCGCCACTGGGCATTTCTGAGCAAGGCAGTGACATTTTCAGAGAATCATGGTTTCCAGTCTCCAAAGCTCTGCTGTATTTTACTCATCACTAGAGATGCTACCATAGCTTGTCACAGTTCTTCCAGCATCTCCATAAAGCAAGATCACTTGGCTACAACTAATTCCTCAAGATCATTGCTTCAAACTTTTAACTCCCATGACTGCCAGCAAGCTAGGAAAGCCTTCCCATTAACAGAGCCCTTCGGGTTGCACAAGCACCCTCTGGTGGCACCGTTTTCCAGAGACAAGCTTATCCGAGAGCTGAAAGAACACATGTACCTTTGTTCCTTCCCATAACTTTCAGAGCCCCAGAAACGAGATGAAGAGACCAAAAGAGGTGACACGCTCAAAGAACCGGTACCCATGAGCAAACTTTCACCAAGAACCGCCTCAATGTCTCTATTCACGCGTACCTAAACAGTGTCCACAATCATCAGCCGAAGGATTCCGATTAGACAAGGAATTAAACTGCCTCCCCAAAGTTAATTTTTTTTTTAATCTAGACACTAAGCTGAGGAAGACTGACAAAGCTGGACAGAAATCCAGGTAACAATCCTCCTGAGCTTTTCAAGTCAGAAACTTTCATCAACATGTTGTCTTAACACAACGGGCTCCAAGATTCCTGTACGCAGTTGTCTTTCCTAATCAGGTCTCAATACACAGACTCCAGTGAAGCGAAGAGATTTTGTTTGTATCGCCATGCAACACTTGGAACATGCAATCTTACTTCCTGCAACAAAAGCCAGAGGAACATCAAAAAGATCTTCCTTGTGCTAGAAGAAAGAAGAGAGGAAGGACTACAGGATCAGAGGGGAGCAAGTTTTGGCATACGCTTGAGATTATCATCACCAAGCTACACTGGCCTTACGTAATGGGATGCAGCAAGAGGGAAACCAATGATTAAGCAACGTGGTTCAATCATTCTTCAAGGAATGGGGGAGAAGCTACAGAAAGCTTAAGCTTGTTTGTGATTTCGTTACCTTGTCAACACCGGGTTTAAAAATCACACCTCACAATGTTTTTGTAGCTTAATATTCATCAGTCCTTTATCAGAGCCATCAACACACAGAATATGACTACAGACAGGAAAGGCATATGGAAATGTATAAAGGGCAACTAAAGCAACACTTTTTAAAGGCAAGTCAAAGAGCTAGACACGAGCAGCAACCCAAAGGTAGCAGCAATTCTTATGCACAGCTCATAGCTCATCCATTTCTGAGAGGAATTTACACATATATTTCCATACTTCCATGGGGCTGGATCAATCTGTGTATCTTGATCTGAACATCAGGACAGAATCAAAGACAAATTCTCCCTTCCAGGGCAAGCGGCCTGACAAGATTAACATCCCAGCTCTTTCTGAGAGGTTTCATGCTGCACACTAATTCTCTCTCACCAAACCCAATGAAAGCCAACTAATTAGATCATCACACTCCTTCTACCACATGAACTGCCTTTGTTTGCTTCAGGCCAATAGCAAGCCATCTGTGATTAAGATTCTGACAATTGCTGCTCTGGAACAAAACCACAGCGCCTTTACACTGGACAAAGAGTGCCTTGAGCCTGCCATAGACCAGCTCCACTTCACCAACAGGAGTTTTATTTACAACGCTATCGTAAACAGCATTTCAATCCAGTATTTGCTGCTGTCCATCACCGCGTTTCTTTTGCCAAAGACAGGCATGTGTTTGATGAGTCAAGCACCGGTTCCACAAATCTGCCGATTTTCAGGACAGCAGCAACAGGCGCGCAGCTCCCTGCTCATCAGCGCAGGGTACCGCGACTGCCTTGTCCAACAGTACCTGCGTAACCGCTGCCACGAAGCGTGATTTCCTACCTGTCACGAACACAAGATGCCGTCAACCGCTGGTAAGGGGTATTCAAGCGTAACTTACGCCACATTTACAACACTGAGTATCAGAGGAGACCCCTTTTCCTATGCGATTACTTAGCTTCATCAATGAAAGGTCACCAGAATTTTCAAAGGCACACACAGGAGAATTTCCACAAAGCCTCGAAACAGCACAAAATAAACATTGAGCAAAATATGAGCCATTGTACAGGCTGCATTACTAATTTACATTTATCCCAGTAAAACTCAAAAATGCTTTTATTAATTATCTGAAGCTGCTGGGAAACATTTAACAATACCAAAGAAAATGGGGACCTAGCTACTGAAATTACATCCAGTTTGACAGAGTACACAGGGTCTTGCTGCACGGAAAAAAAAAAACCATAATATTTGAAGAACTTCACTTAACTGCTTGAATAAGGAGTCACTCATTTGGCAAAGCTCCCAATTTAAAAAAGAGAAGTGTTGCAGTACTAAATCAAGAAGTTTTTATGATGACCCATTTGTCATTCCTGCCACCTTCACTCTCCTAAGCCAATCCCAAAATCCGTTATTAACATCAAGATAACATATCTACACGAGGCAGGGGCAAAAATACGGAAGACAGGTAGAAGATGCATTAAGGTGGGTGGGAGAGAAGACAGCAGTCCAACCACATGACAGCATCTGCAATAAAGCCCTTGGACCCAAAACTGGCAGCTAGAACAGTTTTAGAAACAAGTAAAAAGAGAATTTCTGCATGGAGAAAGGAAAAAAAAAAAAAGAGGGGGGGTGGTTAAAAAAGAAGCTACATTCCATTCAAAGCAGTGGCATACTCTGAACCCCTCCTTTGCTCTATTTTTCCCCCCAAATAAGATCTGAAAATTCCTCCGAGCAGCAGAGGACAAGGGGAAGCTAACGCCAGTGCAGAGAGTATCCTACCTCTGAAAAATCTCCTGCAGAGTTTCCCTAGTGAAGGCGTTGCTGTCCTGGAAGACATTGTTGAGGGCATGGAGGGCACAGAGCTCCCTACGCTGCTTCTCATGATAAATATGCAGTGGTGGTAGCTGGGGTGTCTCTGGTGATTCCGATTTGGTCTTGTCACCCTTCCATGGCACGCAACTCATTTTTGCGTAGGGTGGATGGAGAGTAGGTGGTGAGAAATGAAGGAGGTTGAAGTTTCTTCCTCCACAGTCACAACAGCAGCCCACCACCCCTTTCTTTTGCAGGCTAGTGCTGCTTCCAGCTCACAAACCCTCCTCTTGTGCTTCAGTTTATTCAGCAATTGCCTCTGATGGCTGGTTTTAAAAACCACATAAAGATCTGCAACGTATTTTTCCTCCCTCCTCCCATACCCCATAAAATGTAATACTTCCCTCCCCCCCACCCCTCACAGAGAAAAAAAAAAAAAAAAAACACAACGTCAAAAGATATGAATCCCCGTAGTCTCAAGGTACCAGCTGGAATTTATCACATCGCTCCTTTTCTTCCATCTCCTTTGGTCTACAGTGCCACTAAAAAGGTACCCAGAGCCGGTAACAAAGAGAGGCCCGCCCCCAAAGTGCCAAAGTGGAGAAGATGAAGCCAGCTTCTGGTGCTGCCTATGGGAGCACAGGGTGGTTAAGGACTTATCAGCTGCATTCCTCCATTCCTTTGGGAATGACTGAATCCAGGCAAGAAGATGCCAACAGCTCGGGAAAGGAAACCGCTTCTTGCTAGGCCACAAAAAAAACCCAGGTCCAGGCTCCGGGGAAGGCAATTCCTCACAAGTCACCCTGCGCTCCGACAAAGGGAAGTCTCCATTAGCGATGAGAAGAGGCAGCACAAAGCCCGCGGGAGACAGGGGAGGGGAGGGCAGGCAGCAGGCGGGACCGGCCCCGGGGCCTGCCTCGCACCTTCCCGCCCCGGGCCCCCCCCCCCCGCGCTCGCACAACCACCG